CAAAACGTTGTTGCGACAGCATTCCTGCGTAGTACGAGAGGAACCGCAGGTACGGACCAATGGCACAATACTTGTTCGAGCGAACAGTGGTATGACGCTACGTCCGTTGGAGTATGCCTGAACGCCTCTAAGGTCGTATCCGTGCTGGACTGCAATGATAAATAAGGGGCAATTTGCATTGTATGGCTTCTAAACCATTAAAAGTTTGTAATTTATTTTACAAACGACAATGGATGTGATGCCAATGTAATTTGTAACATAGTAAATTGGGAGGATCATTGATCACCTGGTGCCGCGCTAGTTACATATAAAAACATTATTTAATACAATGACAAAGCCTAGAATCAATTGTAAACGACTTTTGTATATAGTACATACAAAAATAGGACATTAAAAGCATGTTAGTCTAAGACAAAGTCATTGTTAATTATTAAAAGCAGTTAATTTAATGGATTAACATATATCATAAAGTATGGCAAATATATTTTTTTGGTTTACCTTTTTAGTTTTAGCCTTATTATGCAATCAATTGAAGAAAGATGTATCATAAAATCAGCCAATCCTGCGGGGAATTGAGTGATGATTCGAGTAAAATAACATTTTTAAAGTTGAGAGTCCTAACCAGCTGGTAATATTGAACTGAACATCAAAATCGAGGAAAATGATTTTAGATTCACGGTATATTTTACGGTATATTTTTAAAAAGAAAAAGTATGTTTCGGTATATTTGATCGATAATTGCGAATTCTGGTCACACTGCTGGGCAGCCATATTAAATTAACCGTTAGAGTTTAGCGTGGCTTTCGCTTGTTTTTTGTGTTTGTTAAATTTTGTACCAGTCCAGTGACATGAATTGGTCGCTGATTATCTCCATTTTGATCAGTTGCCTGCAGGGCGGGGAGAGTGCCTTCGACGAGGAGTGTCCCACGCTGGCCGACGGCGATAACATGTCGCAGACGCAGCTGCTGGACCGTCTGACGCACGGCTGCCGGTACGACCGGCTGGAGCGCCCCATCACCTACACGGAGACGGGCACGCGCCTACCGGTGGACGTCTACATGCGCGCCTACATTTACTTTATGCAGAATCTGGAGGCCCACGATCTGCAGTTCAAGATCTACGCCCTGCTGCAGATGCGATACCTGGACCCGCGGCTAAACTTTCGCAGTGTCAGCCCCAAGCGCCGGCAGCCCATCCTTGGGGAGCAGCAGCTACGCGACTCTCTCTGGATGCCTCACATCTTCCTGGCCAACGAACGTGACTCCAGCATTTTGGGTGGGTTACCGCCCATCGATTGGTAATTGGTTCACAATAAATCCTCTCTCGCACCTCCTCAGGCACCACGGAGAAGGACATTCTCACGTCCATCTCGCCGGACGGCACGGTCATCGTCTCGAACCGCATCAAGGCTACGCTTTACTGCTGGCTGAACCTGAAGAAGTTCCCCTTTGATGAGCAGGACTGCTCCACAGTGCTCGAAAGCTGGATGTACAATACCTCGGAGCTGGTACTCCACTGGGAGCAGAAGCGACCGATTACCTACGATCCGGCCCTGCACCTAACCGAGTTCCTGCTGCAGCGCTCCTGGTCCAACGAGACGGTGATCAATGCGGATCTCAGTGATTTGCGGCACGGCGCCTTTGCCGGTAACTACAGCTCGCTCAGCTTTACCGTCCACCTGACGCGCGTGGTGGGCTTCTACTTGATGGACTATTTCTTTCCCTCGATGCTAATTGTGGCCATATCGTGGGTGTCTTTTTGGCTGCAGGCGGACCAGGCTCCGCCCCGGATAACGCTTGGGACCAGCACCATGCTGACCTTCATAACGCTGGCCTCGGCGCAGGGTGAGCATGGGAGTGACGGAACTTTAATTGAAGTATGATACTCATCTGATATATCATCCATTCCATTCGTTGACAGGCAAAACGCTGCCCAAGGTGAGCTACATCAAGGTCTCGGAGGTGTGGTTTCTCGGCTGCACCATCTTCATATTTGGCAGCATGGTTGAGTTTGCTTTTGTGAACACAATCTGGCGCCGCAAGCAGAATGTGCCCCTCAAGAAGCTCAACAGCAAGCACATCCTCAAGTCCACGCTGTCCCCCCATTTGCTGCGTCGTCGCAGTCACGCCCGCTCGCGCTCCTTCTCTGGCATGGCCCGCCAACTGGACACCAGTTCTCTGGGCGGTGCTGGCTTCAACAACTACCTCACTGTCAACTTGCCCATCACTACAATCACAGAGGGACAGGTGATGGGCCAAAGGAGGGAGGGTTTCACCAGCCAGAAGCGGATGGGCAGTGGCCAGGCCATGAGCGCCTCCAGCCAGAAGATAGATATATCGTTTGTGGAGAGCGCCTTTACTGTACCACCATCTGGGCAGCCAGCGGCTGCTCTAAGCGAAACCACACCGCAGATGTACAACAACAATCGATCGGAGGGCAGTGGCAATGGAGCGGAGGAGATGGATTTTACTGGCTGGACCACGCTTACGCCGCAGGAGATTGCCATGTGGATCGATAGTCGTGCTCGTTTGGTATTCCCAGTGGCCTTTCTGGTGTTTAACCTGTTCTTCTGGACATTTGTCTATTGCATTTGATGGCTTTCAATTATTTTATTTCAAAATTTCACCTTAAATTCGGTTTGAAAACGTTTTATCTGTTATTAATGTTAATATGTATAAGTAATTTCCAAAGTAATTAATTGTATTTAAAATACTTTATATTTGTGCTTTTTTGTACTTTGGTTATCAATAATATTTGTTATAAACGATCATAATTGCTCATTTCACTAGCATTTTAAATATTTCAATCTGCGCACCCAGCTGTTGCGCATTTGCTTGGAGTGTCGCGTAACAGGTCTCAGGGCCTCAGGAGCATTCTTCCCTATTCCTCCACTTACACACATGCAAAGAAACAATAACATCTACAGCCCAGTACGGTTTATTATATACTTTTGAGGATTTTTTAACTACAAAAATGAGTTCAATGTGTGTATATTTACAATATATCGGCTTATAAGGGTATATTTCATAAATTTCATCCGTCTTTTCAATTCCATTGTTAGGGTATATTTAAGTATATAGGGTTTCGAAACTCCCATACGCATGTTTAAAATGTCCCTTAAGGATTTTCTCGTTAAATTCCGTCGCCAATTATGTATGTACCGTTGGAAACATAAATTTTATGGGACAGCAGCATGCTGCGAAAAGTGAGCAGCGCTGTTCCCCAACATTTGGCACGGAATAATCTACATTTAGTACCCTTGGAGGGATGGATATCCTCGAAAAGCTAAAATTTGAGCCATCTCAACAACATTTTGCAGTTTATAGGTACCGAGAATGTATCTAGGTTTTATATAGTATATATGTATATAGTACATATGTACGTACATATGCATACACATAGAAAACATATGAAAAGCATGTCAGTCTAAGACAAAGTCATTGCTGATGTTTAAAAGCAGCTGGCAAAATTGAATTTTAATATTAATTTTGGCAAATAGGGTACACAAGTGCGCATACAACTACTACACTATCGGTTGGCCAGCAACAAATTTTCAAATGACCAGCCACATAACTTTAATGCTATTTTTTTTGGTAAACCTTTTTAGTTTTAGCCTTATATGACAATCAATCCAATATATTTAAGTCATGAACATCAGTCTTGTGGAATGATGATTCGCGTAAAATTACAGTTTTACAGCTGAGAGTCCTAACTAGCTGGTAATATTGAACAGAGGATCAATGTCAGGAAAATTATTATAAATGAACGGTATATTTACAGTATGTTTTTAAAATTAAACGGTATATGTTGGTATATTTCCGAGGGTCTATCGGTATGCGATATCTCCGCGGTCACACTAGCGACGTCGGAGGCGAAAAAAAAAATACAAAAAAAGAATTAAGAGCGCTGCTTCTTTTTTTATTTTTTGGTTGTTTTGTGTGATTGCAACCCTACGCCGAAAAAGAAACAAATCAAGCAACAAAAATACGGAGCAAACTCAATAGCGACAACAAAAACATTGGCATGTGCAAGTGCAAGGCAATCAAAAACAACGGTAAAGGGAAGAAGTGAGAGAAGCAAACGCAACAACAGAAATAAGAAGAGAAGAGCAGCAACCGTGATATTATTTTTTGTGTAAAAAAAACCAAAGCAACATTGTAGTTACATATGGACATGCAATCAAATGTAAAATTAGTATTTGACTTTCGTGAATCGTAACTTATTTAAGGTGCCAATTTGAAAGATGAATTAATTTGATTTTTGTAAAAGAATAAAACAAATTAAAACAGTAAACTAAATAAATTCCAACCGGTAACTTTAGTTAATGTCTTCCTCGTCCCTCTTCTTCGCGCAACGACAGAAACAACAGTATTAGCAAGAATAAGAGTGAGAGAACCAAATCTGTGATTGCACGTTGTCCTGCTCCCGCCCACACTATTCCCACCAAGCTGGAAGAGGCGGAGGAGAAGCAGCGTCATGGACACCATCTGTAGACTCTGCTTCCAAACAGCAACGGTAAGTCAGAATAAGAAATGATTACATTATAGTTATTGATTTTAACTGTTTGCAAAGATGTGGGGGAATGTCCATGTGGTGGAGGAGGAGTTTAAGGAATTTAACAATTGTGCGGGGATTCAGCTGCTGCGGCCTCTGCTTTGGTGCTGTTTACGGTTGGGCATTGGGTGGGGGTTGAAAAGCGCGCGCATTGTTTTCCGTCTGCGTCTCTCATTCACAGCCAACAGCTTTGATCGCTCGCACACATGTATTTACAAACATACACACATACACATATGCGACCCCAAAAAACTATTGCCGAACATATTTATTTTTAGACACAAAAAAAAGTTGTTCAAGCCGACAACTTGAAAAAATATTATTTTTACATTTTGCTTGCGCACTGGCTGCGCTGGCCTGCTTACTTTTCTCTTTGACTCCTTTTCACCTCTCTACCTACCTCTACCACCATAAACCACACATAAAGAAACACAGTGACAGCGGCACAGGGGTCACTTCAAATTTGTGATCCAATATGAATCTCGCTAACTGGAAACTGTTGCAACAGCAGCATAAAACCCTCAAGTCCCGATTCCAACCAAACCCCCTTTTTAGTGATACACATCAGGTCATACGCCTCTGCACTCTCGACGTTGGCAGAGTCAAAACAAAACACAAAAGCAAAAGAATAACAATACGAAGAAGAAAGAAACAGAAATAACATGAAATGAAAACAGCAACAAAATTACTTGCGCAAGATATATTAAAGGAAGGTGAGGAAGTCCCACCATGCTGTTGAGCACATGAGCAAATGTTTTACGCTCTAGTGAAAATCCATACCTTCTAATAAATTCAACTTCAACTTCTGCTGCCAGCGCAGAATGGGCATGTGTGTGTTTATCTTCTTGCTTGATATTTTGTGGTGGGAGGAATAAGTGTGTTGGTACCGGGTTGGTTAGGTTGGGTTGGAATGGGGGGATACATTAAATAAATCGTATTATGATTATTACTTTGTTTCTTGTTTTTTATCAAAGCGAAAAGAAAAAGGCAAAACGCACTTTCCATTTTGGTCCAATTGGTCCAATACTCATATCTTACCCTCTCCCTCCCTTTTTTTTCTATTTACAGTTATTCCAAGTGCCCGGCTATAGCATACCCACGTGCGTACGCTGCTCTGAACAGCTGACAAACAATACAAACTTCCATCAAGCAGTGCGGGGGGCAGAAGCCGGATCGACTGCTGCTTCCGTATCGGCGGCTGTTGCAGCAGCCGCTGCCGCCGCTGTCGCATCGTCATCGACGTCCAGTGATAGTGACGCTGCTGCAGTGGCGCAGCAGCTGACGAACGGCAGTAATGCTGCTGCCGTCGCTGTGCTGCAGCTACACCAGCAGCAGCAGCATCAACAGCAACAACAAATGCAATCATCGAGCTCTTCCGAGAACCTACAATCGCAGGACGATTCTGAAGATGTAAGTTTACGCTGATAAAAGCGAGACGGATAGCGATTGCTCTGTCTAAATGTCACAGTGTCAGTCACAGCAAACGTTACCCTCCCACGCACACACACACCAACATGGGCTGAACTTGCCCACGGTGTATTCGAGTACGGTGAAGCATTCACACGAAGTTTTTCTCTACAAGTTGACTATTTTCTTTCATGTTCTTTATTCGTTGCTTGACGCAGAGATAACGGGAGAGATCTATCAACAAAATAGCAATAAAGCAGGGCGGGATTTCCTCACCTTACATAAATACACCTTGCATTTGACTGTTTACACTGTTTTTTTCGTGTTGTTTTCCATTCCTCTTTTACAGATAACTGCACTTGCTACTCCCACTCATACACACAGACAAGAATCAGCAGCAGCACATAATTATTCGCACATATATGTCCATACATACATACATACGTATAGAAATCCATGTGTATATTTGCTTGCACATTCGCCTCGACTTGGCTCCTTCTTCTGCTTCTTTACCCACTTCTTATTTTCCGCCGTTTCTTTGCCTGTTCTTTTGCCTTTTTTTCCACCATGCAACTGAGATTTGCAGAAAAATTATTTTGGCAATATTGCTCTTACGAATACCCTACTAATACACTCCTGTGGTGCAAAGCCATGTGCAGTCATTTTAAACTGTAATTTGTTAAAATATAGATGAGTCCGTCCACCTAGTAAGTACTTATCGTCCGCCAATGGGAACATTTAAACTGAGTCTTGTGCCAATTGCACTGTGAGGGTATTCACTCTTCGACTTGCTGTGCACATATCTGCTCATTTTCTTGTTTTCCTTTATATTTATATTTATACATATATACACATATATATGGTTTTTTTTTTTCTTTTCTTTCATTAATATCTGCGCTCTGTCGATGCCAGCGTCGACGCTCAGCGTTTTCTGTGCGCGCTGTGTGTAAATCTAAGGCGAAAAAAGTTCATTTTTCGCTTGACGCTTTCTGTGTGCGGGTGGTGTGTGGCATGCAGTGCGTAGCATGCAACACAAAATCAAATAGAAAAAAAATATAATTATAGACTTGTCACAGGGAGAGCAATCGCAAATAAACAAACTGAATTTGTACGGGGATTTGCAGTCCATATTTTTGGCAGCCAGCTTGTTGAGCGTGAGTTGTGTTTTTTTTGTATTCATTCGTTTATTCCTTCTATTCTATTTGCTTGCTTTAATACTTCATTCTTACACTAGTGGGTAAAATGTTAATGCGTGCCGTATTTGGGAGTGGGCGCACAACGCTCGCGGTACTGCCGCAAAGCATTGCTTCGCACGCTCGAAGGCTCCTACTCCGTCTTTACGCCTTCTCTCCAAAACTCTCAGAGTTCGCATAACGCTAGAGGCGAACTCTGCGGCCGCTTCCCATGCCCTTGGCTCAGCCAGCATGATCGGCACCAATGTCTAGGTAGAGATCCTGGCGCCTACTACTGCCTCCAGGCGTAGACGCTCGTGGTCAAACCTGTGGCACTATTCCGGTGCACCACGCTGGGCACCAGTCCTCCGAGTCATGGCCGAAGCGCTTGAGGTAGCTGCGAAAGCAGCCGTGTCCACTAAGCGCCTGGGTGAGATAGAAATCTACCTGGCCGTGCTTCCTAACGATCCAGTCTTGCAGCTTCGGGATGCGGGAATATGTCCAGCGCCCCTTAGATGAACCGTCCCACTGGGTCTGCCATCTACTGATGCTGTTCCTCCTTGCGGTAGCCTTCAGCTCGGCTCTTGTCGCCTCGCTTCCGGGACTTGCCCGGCGATGACCAGCGCTGCTTCGTCCGACACAGTCCGGAACGAGCACGCGATCCTTACGGCACACAGTCTGTACGTCGCCTCCACGCCTCGCATGTAGGTCTTCACCTGTGTGGCTTTCGCCCACGCGGGCGCTGCGTACAGGATCTGCGACGTCACAACACTCTTCAGGAGCTTCCGCGTTGCCTGCTTCGGGACTCTGGTGTTGAGAAGCATTCGCGAGAGCGCTCCTGCGGTTCCGCTGGCCTTCCTCTGCACGTACTCCAAGTGCTCCTTGTATGAGAGGCGGGTGTAGATGAGCACCCCGAGGTACTTGATTGCCCTCTGCGAGCGTATCGTGGTGCCACCGACCTGCACACTTGCTGTTTCTACAGCTCGATATGAGCACCGCCTCAGTCTTCTGCGCTGCCAGGTCCAATCCGGCAACCGTAAGCCACGACTCCACGACTCGGAAGGCCGCGTTGGCGAGCTCCTCCACTGCGGCGAGGTGCTTGGCCACCACCACTATGGCGACGTCGTCCGCAAACCCCACCATGCTGATGTTGGCTGGCATCGGTAGTCTCAGGACTGCGTCGTACATTTCGTTCCAAAGCAGAGGCCCAAAACGGAGTCCTGAGGGACTCCGGCTGAGACTTTGTATGCCCTGGAACCCAGACTGGTCTCGTACGTCAGCACCCTGTCGCTGAAGTAGCTACGTGCTATCCTCTGCAGGTATCCAGGGATATGTGCGGCTCCAATCGGTCGAGTGGAAGGCGTTCCTTATGTCGAGTATCACCACGAGACAGTAGGATTTGGACCCTCCTCTCCATCTGGAACCAGCGCAGGCTTCCTCTGCCTTTTTTACCACCTTGGAGATGGCGTCCAGCGTCGACTTCCCCTTCCTGAACCCGTATTGCTCCGGGGAGAGGTCGCCTGCTGCTTCGATGGCTGCACTCAGCCTCGTGGCGATCACCTTCTCGAAAACCTTCCCTATCGTGTCCAGGAGGCAGATGGGCCTGAAGGAGGACATCTCGCCCGGCGGCTTTCCCGGCTTGGACCTCCGTGACCTCGCAGATGTCGTCCAGGCTGTGCTCGGGGCTCGGGGATGTTGTTATGGGCCGCCCTTGCGGGAACAAGGTCCTAAAGATCCCCTCCAACACTACTGGGTCCGTTGAGGCTCTGCTTCCGACCACCATCTTGTAGGCGCCTCCCCAGGGGTCCTCCTTGGCGGCGTCGCATAGATTGAGGAAGCATTCTCCTTCGCTTTTGAGATTGAGTTGCGTGTGCCTGTGTGCTGCCCGTGTGTGCGCAAGCGAGTGCAACAGTGCTTAGTTGATAGTTACAACTTCCCCACCCGCACTCACCGCACTTCCGCTATTCTCCTCTCACGCACTCACTTACTTACTGCGTTTGCGTATTTTTTCTCTCTTCTCTCACTCTCGCCCGCGTCCCAGGTGGATCTGATATTCAATGAGGAGGGCTCCTGTCCCCTGTGCAACAAGACGTTCTCGCGCAAATCCTCGCTGATGACGCACATACGGAACCACTCAGCGGAGCGCAAATTTGTGTGCACCTACTGCAACAAAGGTAAGTGTGTGGTTCTATGTACACACATACCACCCTTCGACTTTCTATCCATTATAACTCCAAACCACCATTCTTCGACTTCTCTGCCTGTCAAACACAGGCTTCACACAGGCGGCTAATCTGCGCAATCATGAGCGAATCCACACGAACGATCGTCCCTACCCGTGCGTCGACTGTGGCAAGACCTTCACACAGATCACGAACCTTAATAATCACAGGCGCCTGCACACAGGGGAGCGGCCCTTCGTCTGCAATGAACCCGAGTGCGGACGTAGTTTTGCCCAGGTGAGCATTCTCAGCCCATATGCCAAAATCATTAGAATTCAATTCTAAAAACCCTTCGATTGCGGCAGGTGACCAACCTCAACAACCACATGAAGTCACATCACAAGGTGCAGCAATACTGCTGCAACGTATGCAACAAGAAGTTCACGCAGGTCACCTCACTGAATCATCACCTGCAGGCGCATGCGGGCGTCAGCGGCTACTTTTGTCCTCGCTGTCCCGATAAGACCTTCAAGCTGCAGTCACAGTTGCACACGCACATGAAGTCGCACGGACAGGCATTCCCCTATGAGTGTGGCAAGTGCGACGAGAAGTTCCTGCAGCAGGCCCACCTCGACCAGCACCTGAAGATGCACGACGAGTTCAAGTTCAAGTGCGACATCTGCCCCAGCAGCTTTAATCAGGACTCGCTGCTGAAGAAGCATGTGCAGCGGCATGTTGAGGGCCGCTATCTTAGTTGTCCGGTGGCCAACTGTACGGAATCGTTTGCCGTACGCCAGCACCTGTCCAAGCATTTGCTCACAAATCACTCCCATCACGAGCTACCGCCACCGAAGCGATCCAAAAAGACTGTCACGTTGCAGTCGCCACAACAGCCATTGGCGATGATAGGCCAGCCGCTTTCACTGCAGCACACGACGGGGCAGCGTAAGTAGTAGCTTTCATCTACCCTCTCAACGTGCTAAAGGACTTCCCCCTGTAGGTGGACGTCCGCCGAAGAATAAGAACAAGACGACCGGCAACTTGGCCGCCACAGCCATTAAGATTGAGATTAATGAGCCTCTACACAGCCAGCATATCATCAGCAGTGCCAGTGGCCTTTCCATCCAACAGCAGATCAACCAGCACATGCAACAGCAGGCGCAACAGCAGCAGCAGCAACAACAGCAACAGCAGCAGCATCTACATCTGTCCATGGGTCAGGCGGTCAAGGCGCGCTTCATACCCACCAAGTAAATGATATTTGGCCTCTCCCCATAGCCCCCCTGCACACTCCTCGCAGTTGCTTGAAACTCCTCCAGTAGCCAGCTCAATAGCCCGAATTAAATATCCTCTTCCCCAGTTTGCTATACATATGTATGGATATATGTAAACAATAGACAACACACATAGATACACGATTTGTGAGTCCGGCGGCAAGCTGCTGGTTCGGTTTGGTGTCTGTCTCCCAACCGCTGCTCAACCAAAGCAATAGACAAGCCAAAATGCACCACATCAAAAAGAGGAACAAACAACAAAAATCGCATGAATGCCGCACAATTTCGGTAGGCCCGAAGTTTAAATACTCTTTTGCAGTAGCAAGATTTAAGTTAGTCCAAAAAGGAAACACTTCAATATAGTTTCTTGCCGTTTAAAAGTGTTTTAAAGAGCATATTTCGACTGGAAATGGTGTGTCCATAAGGGAATGCCAGTAGATTATACTCATTAATGATTTTATCCAACTTTGGAATACATTCTGTTATACGCAAAAGAGTATTTTCAAACAGCATCAAAAATTAGAACAGACAGGACAAAAACAAAAACGGACTTCAAGCACGAACAAGAACAGGGGGAGTCAAACCAGTCTTATACAAATCGAATTGACATTTAAATTGTAATTTTAATGCAAAAGAAACAAAAATAGACACACGCAGAGAAATGAAACCAATTACCTAAAGTGATTGGTAGTTATGCAAAAAGAAAACAAAACACAACAATATTTGATTACATTTGGAATCTATTTACGTTATAAGAATTAGTTTAAGTGTTTTTATTTTTTTTTTTTTTTAATAAATAATTACAGAATAAACAAACGAACCTGAAACGAAGCAGATCGGGAAAATGTTTATATGTGGAAGTTGGGAAACTTTTTTGCAGCTGGGCCCGACAGGATGCGCAGGCGTAGGAGTATGGCGACGTCTGAAGGAACTTAACTGATGTAGTACGCTTGTTCATAGCTCAAAATAATAAAAAAAACTCTAACGCTAAAGTTCAGTCTGAAACTATAGTACACCAGTCCTTCTAGTTGTCAAATTCTGGTGCAAGCTGAGCTTTGACACGCCCTCTGGTGGATGCAATTCACCACAGTGGGTAGCCAATATTTTTATCGAATTTCGCTCTGACTGACAGTCCCAATTGCTGTTTGTTTTCCACTGTCATTTGGACAAACAGAAGGGGGACCAAAAATCAGGCTGGCAAAGAGTGCAGACGTACATATACGTCGCGACCACAGCAGCTGGAGCGAAAAGAACAAGAGGGCAGAAGAGGTTGCTGCCAGTTACCGGAAATTACCCATGGAACACCGGAGAAATACCTACGGGGTCCACTGGGCCCATAGAAGGGCATATTTTTGGAAGACCACCCTGGCCCCCACGAGCAGCTTTAGCGCGTTGCTCCCCTAAACCAACTAACATCAACGGCATAATGACAGTGAATAAGGACTACGACGCCCGATAGGTTCCACAGTACATTTAAACATTAAAACATGTTTGCACTTGCGAGGTCATTGAACCTTAGAGGCTACAGGCAGTGCTTCTCGAATTTATACCTGTGTCCCGATGCCATCGCTGCCATTTCTGGATTCAGACATCGTTTTGATATTGACTAATTTAAATTTAAAGTAAAGCAATGATATTTAGCGCAAGTGACAAGAACATTAAGAAACAAACGTAAAATGTACTCATTCCATGAAATTTGTTAAAAGCCAACCCCAAAAAGAATCAAAACAAACGAAGAGAAATCAAATGTGTATGTGTGTATGAACAATTGTGTGTGCTCTCTCTTAAAAGCTTCCAGGTTCGCTCTCCCATCGCCGAAAGATCTTTTGGACATAGATGACATAAAGCAAATACGTAAGTGAAAGAACCTATTTTATTGCAAAACTCAACTTGTTAGAGACTTCACTGCCATGCACATAAAATAAATATTTGATCGGTCTTTCTTGTTGTTGCGATTTCGGCCAACGTAAAGCGAGCGAGCTTTCGGAGCTTATTCAAAGATTGGCTTTGTCTATGGAGCTTTACACTCATGAGCATATAATTAGAGCCAAAATAATTTCCTTTAAATATAAACGAAAAATGAATATGAAATGAATGAACTAAAAGTAATTACATATTAATCTAAAACATACTGAACTGAATTAAATCCTTACATTTTTAATGAAATTAATGGACACTAACTATTATGCTTATTATAACGATTATTTCAGTATTCACCTTATTCGCTTATTCATATATATTTTGTAGACCCTTTATTTGATAGTAAACAATTTGTTTTATAATTTTCTCATTATATACATACATACATACCCCTAAATTAGGCATGAACTCCCATTGATTATAATAAACCTAATCATTAATTTGTTGAAAATGAATTGCTAGAGATTTGTTATCAAGGAGCCATGCAACGTTCACTGTGTTAGATTACAAAGTAACCATGACTAATAAGGGATCATCCGAAACTTTTATATCTCTTGGAATTTATGGGATGATCATGGTGGGTGGGCAAGGACTGCCGCAACAAGACCAGCGCAGTCGTCAATCATGGTGGATAGGTATTTCGGTGGTTAAGTTTTCTCCTTCCTGTTACTTCGCCTTTTCTTAAGTCATCCCCCTAGCCTAATTCCCTTCCTACGACCTAAGCATAGGTCTGCACGCGAAATACAAATGAATAAGAAATAGCATCAATGCGAGCAGGTAACAATAAGCAATTATCGGAACCCCCCCTTCTACCGTTCATACAGTTGGAGCCAGCGCCTGCCCCTCCTTATTGGATACATCCCCGACCAGCTCGAGTGGCACAGCTACAACAAGTATCGTTGTAAACTGTAAACTGCTACACTGAATGTTGACGCACAGCCACCCACACAGTGATTGAATCGATGCGAATGACGCACTTTTGGGCCACGCACCTACGTCGGGTGAGCACTGTCGAATGCGGCAGAAACAATGCAACAAGGTTCCTTTGTATCGCCTTGACTTGAGACTTGACTTCTTAAGATGTTCATCCTACCAGAGAAGTTGAAGATTTTATCAAAGATCAGAATAAGTATAAAATATTTCATTTTCGTTTAACATTTATGTATGGCTGGGCCATCAACTCTAGAGCCATACAAATAAAATGCAGAGCTCTTGTTTAATTTAAGGATATACATAAATATTTGTTTCTTTGAGCTATTCTCTTAATAGTTGTATGTTTTCTTTGGACATTTTGACTAGAGAATATACCAGAAGACACTTGTGGCGGTAGCAATCAGTCGGAATGTTTTCCTTTTGAGTTTTCTATATGTGTTTTAGTACAAAATTTAATTAGCTCTTTGATACTGATGCTTTTAGTTGCAGTCTCTTTAGAGTTTTTGTATGTGTTTTAAGGATTTAAGATTTAATTTGAACTCTGTTCAGCTTGTGCGGCGGTGCGTTTAAGTGCCTCTCTTAGGCGTGCAACACGCAGATTCTTCCGGCTGTTAGGCCTTGACGTGGTGCATGGGTATGTGTAGAGGCTCGACTTGAAAGCATCGATATCCGCAATGGCGTTCATATGGACGCCGTCCCTGGGCAGGAATACAAGACTCAGTCGCTGGCTCACATCCTTATAGAGATTGTCTTGACAATTCGAGGAACAATTCGGCGACTGGGGGCTGTCGGTGCTGCCATTGGTATTAGCCGAAGAGTTGGCGGTGGGTATATGTCCAATGACCTGGATCGATAGCTTTCGGTTATTCTCGGCCTCCATGCCGAACAGGAAAGAAGTCAGATTCGCTTTGGTTACTGTGCGCAAGGCATCGGCCAGTTGTTGATTCCGATCAAACCGATAATCCCCATTGAGAATCTCATCCCAGTGGCGATTCGATGTCATATTAAGGTCCTGGTCAGGGGCGAGCTTCGCCGCAATGAGCGCCGCCCTGAACTTCAGGAATGGCTTGGTCTTCAATCTCTTGACAATATTCTTCGTCTTCATGCGGAAGAGATCGATTTCACTCTCCAGTGTCTTGGCTCCTCCTCCCGTTTCAAGTGTCTTTCCACCAATGGAGAATCCAACAATGCCGTTAAGGCACACGTTAATATACAATCGGTGGCGCAGATTCTCAGCAGTGCGACGGCGCATAATGCCCACCAGTAACAGAAGTATGGCATGGACACGCGTCGTATTCGGTCCGATTTGATAGTAGTTCATGACCACCGACTTGGGGTCGTGCTTATTGAGACTGTAGCAGCGAATGTAGGAGCTGCCAAGTGGCATTTCCTTCACCCGATCCTCCACAAATCGGGGCTCGCGTATGGCACGACATTGCAGGCGATTGATCACACCATTCATCACATTGCAGGCAGACTCTTCCGTGTAGTTGCCCTCACAGAGGGCATGGATGTAGAGCTCCGCATGGAACTTCTGGACAAATGTCTTAAAGTCCACCAACGTGATGCCAGCAATGCTATTGTACTTGTCAATGTGCAGCCAATGAGATTCCTTAATCAAACACTCGCGAATGTCCCTAAGGGGTAGATGGTCATCTCATTAAGATTAAGATTAAGATTAAGATTAAGGTCCAAATGAACAAAAATTTGTTCAGTTACCTGCACTGCATTTTCTGCATGATCAGTTCATGAAAGAATTCCATATGCAGATTTTCGCGTTCACTGTACAGTGTACACTCGTCTAGATTGTCGGCAACATTCACCATCGCCTGGGTGATGGCCTCCACCGCCAAATGGAGCTTATCGTTGTAGCCACGCACCTTGAGCTCGAGTCCCTTGTCGCGGGCAATGAAGGAGTGTGTTATGCCCGCAAGGGCAGCTGGATAAAGCTGCTCGAGCAGCTGCTCCTCCAACAAGTTGGCATACAGGGAGCACATGGCACTTCTGAAAAGGATAAGGGATAAGGCATGGGTTAGGTGTGTACAGGATTAAGCTCCTTGTTCTGGCTTACTTTTTGGCACTCTGACGCAGTTGCGGAGAAACGAAATAGAACGAAAAAATGGCCTTGGGCTGCAAGGCCAAGTCATCGAGTCGGTGCCACAGCTCACAGACGTTCGTATTCATCAGTCGCTGGGGTCCAGGTGATAGCTCCGGTTGGCCCTGCTCCAGCCAAAAGATCCTTAAGTCCTCGGCCACAAAGGGATTGGGTTCGGGCAGCCACAGACCCTCAATGGGTTTCGATTCTCTAAACATCTTCTGCCATGTGTAGGGCATGGGAACATTTTGTTCGACCACATTCTGCATAGTAATCGCCAGATTAAAGTCCAGTTTGTTCAGAGATCCAATCATTTCGGAAATGTGCTGCTCGTTGTATTCGAGCAAGAGATCGCCGGCTGTAAGCACATCCTTCGCTGGATAATATTTACTGTTCAGCACCAGCTTCTTGACATTCTCCAACGCCTCAGGTTGAGTGCGGAAACGGAAATTGTTGAACGCAATTGTCTGCAGTTTTCCATACAAACTCCGCAGCAGCGCCGGGTCCGCGGCAGCGATGAGCTTTATGTAGGCAAAGACGGCGGCCAGCACCTCATCAATATGCTGGTAGCCCTCGTCGGTGAGGGTAAGTGAAAGCTTGAACAGCGAGTAGATGGAATTCAGATCGAAGCCGTCATCATCGATGCCCACAATCTGCATTACTGTCCAGCGGCGACGATGTAGATACAGACGGAGACTGCCAGGACCCTCCTGGTCGAGCAGCGAAGTCACGAATTTGTCCGGCTTGCAGCGATAATACTGCCGGACACTGGGCAGCAGCCAGGTCAGATCCAGACGGCAGTTGTAATACTTTGACTTGACATAGAAAACCCGCTTGTGGAACTCTGCACGAAACGCATGGCGATAATCGAGTCGCTTTGCGGTATCCATCGACTCGCTGTTGTTGACTGGTAATACGGACAGGTGGTGGTAGATCATCTGCTCCAGCTCCTCGAGCGGCAGGCGTGACTGCAGGCATAGGTGCATACGATTGGCCACAAAATTGTCGCGTCGCAGCTGTTGGATCATCGCGCCGAGCGCATTCTCGGGGTCCTGCCTCTGGAGATCTGATAAATTCTTCCAATCGTACTGGCCGTGCGGATAGTTGTCGGCGGCGAGGCTGGCCAGCAGCATATTCCGCTTCGTGTTGCAGTCCTCGGTCATGAGCTTTAAAACCACCATAGGCGGCAGAAGCTCACGCTCCAGGGGGCCCCGTTTCATCAGCAGCGACTTCAGGCGCATCAGACACAAGATCAAGTGCTGTTCGGGCACCTTAAAGTGAAACATTGTCTCCTCGCGATCAGCTGTGACGCCACACACGCCCCCCAAATCGTCCACATGCGGCATGAGGAGTTTATCTTTGCGCAGCAAATGCCCCAGTGCGTAGGACAGGCCTTTATATTTTGGCGGATCATTGAACGATCCGCTGTCGACTGTCAGGGCCAGGGCGGCCGTTGCAAGCTCCCCATCGGGCACCGAGATGATCAAGGCGCGCAGTCCATTAAGCAGCTGCAGGCACCTACAAACATGAAGCAATTATATATAATTAAATTATAAGGAAAATTATACAAACTATTATAATTTAATAAAAGCGCGATTTAACCCGTCATAAAGGCGCTTCTCGCACATTTATTTCGCACTTACTTGTACTCTTTATGGTCGTCTGGCAATTTGTCTGGAATAAATGCTTCCATTTTCATAGCCTTGGCTAAAGCCAATGTTCACCGACTGAATGGATATATGAGTTTACTTTATATTTGAGTGATGTGGCTATATATTTATTTAAATTTCAGTTTTGACCTGTGCAAGTACATATCAATGGCAGTTTATTGAATTTCAAACATCGAGTCCAAAAGCCCAATTTAAACTGGAACGTTGTACAACAGTGAATGGATTCTGGGACTGAGACAGATTTAACTGGAAAGTTCATAGAAAATGAATCAATTTGTAGGCATTTAATTGAATTAAAATATTAATTAGAAAACAGAACAGAAGCAAAAGATCAAAAATGAAAGCAAAAATGAGTCGGCTCACGCGATATTTAAGTATCTACTCGAATATCTATCGATATACACAGGGCTGCATTCAAAACAAATCAAAGCCGAGCGCCTTGAAATTCGGATTTCTTGGAAATTTACCAAAACAAACAAACTAAAACCAAAACGAGCGGAGCATAGTTAGCTTCTTTTGATTAAATAGAACAGTAAGTAGCAAAACATTCGAAAGCGCATGTGCAACGGCTAAAGGGAAAAGGCCTCTCCTTTTCTGTTTCATCTAGAAATTCCAGGTGCAAGATGTCGAACCAGGAATGCATTATCCCGAAAGTAGTCGCTGATATTATTGAGCTTGGTTGTTCAATGGTTGAAAAAGCCACCACAATGCTGGCAAATGTCACCATGGACGCCATTCACTTCCTCGACAATGGGGACACAACCGAGAGTCTGGGTATGAGCAACGGCCGTGTCCACACCATGCAGATGCGCGTATCTGATGGGCCAATTCAAATAAAAATAAACTGTTCATGGAAGGCAGGCATTTGAAGAAGAAATAAGTCAAATAAAGTCACAAACTGTATGCATTGAAGCTCCCGTGTAGAACATTTTATTATTCAGTTTCAGTTTCAGCAGAGCACAAAGAACAAGGACATTCTAGGGACGCATAGGCATGGCATTGGTACGTGCCATGTGGCGAAGTATTCCTTGCGGTTTATTCAACTTTTCTCCTAGCCATACTCCTAGTTGGAGTCCAATCCATGGCCCCAACGAATGTATCCCATAACCCACTCGAAAATGCGTTCATTATCTGCGGTTTAAATATATTTCTGCCTTGCAAACAGATGTACATACATACATACATAGTTATTTAATTACTGGTTTAATGATCGTGCAAAATTAACAATAAGTAACAATAGTTTCATGTTTTCAATGTCTCGACCTGTCCTTTGTTCAGATGAACTTAATAATAGTACAAAATAACTTAAGATATTAAACAAAAAAACATAATAATATAAAGGCATTTAATATTTATGGGGGAAAAAAAACAGAACTGGATAATGGAAGCAAAAAAATACGCGCGGGATATAACAATTATAATGATGAGGGGATCGCTGGGGATGTGGGTATCGATGGAGTCGGTTGGTAAATACAAAAATTGAATAAACATTAGGTGTGTATATGGGGGCATGTACATATATGCTCTATATGTACTTTGTATATACTATATACACATATGTATTATATTATGTCTCATTCGTAATTTCCAGTTCACTTTACACAAATTTATTACACTGCAAATTTGTTTTGTCCTTTGGGCCTGCGTGTGGGCTTTCCATTCACAGCTTTTGAAGCTCTGTGCTGTCGTTCAGGTAGCGACTTTTCACGATTTTGGTGCGTCCTTCGTACTGATCCTCGGCATCGAGTAGTCCCTCCTCATGCTTGTCCGTCGATGAGTGACCGCCAATGGCGCCGTTTCCTTGCATAAAAATGCGCGAAATGAGCGAAGTGTTGGAACGCTTAAAGGCCAAGCGCTTGCCACCGACCTCGGGCAGATCGTCGAGTCCGCGATGCAGCGACAGATTGTCCAGCTCCGACTCCGATGATGAGCCATTGCGACGCGCCCGCTCGGCGGCCAGATGCGCCTCATACTCGGCCGTACGCAGTGTCTTGGCCGTCGGCTTGCGATACATTTTCAGTAGCAGCGAGGAGCACACAACGCTCACCGAACTCGCCGCCATGGCCACCGAGGCCATCCACGGCAGCAGGGTGAAACCGTACGGGGCAAAGAGCCCACTGGCCAGCGGTATGCCCAACAGATTGTACATGCTGGCAAAGAAAAAGTTATAGCGTATGCGGCGCACTGTGCACCGCGAGAGATCCAGGCAGGCGACAACATCCAGCAGATCGTTGCGCATCAGAACAATGTCCGAGGCCTCGGCAGCCACATCTGTGCCAGCGGCTATCGTGATGCCCACATCGGCCTGCGCCAGCGCTGGGCTATCGTTAACACCATCCCCGACCATGGCCACGCGTATGCCGCGCTGCTGAATCCTTTGAATTTTTGCCACCTTATGGGATGGCAGCACCTCGGCATAAACAGTGCGTATGCCAACCTGTTGGAAAAGGTAAAACAAATTAAGATTCAGATGAATTATTTTATGGCTAAGTCCTCCTACCTCTCTTGCTATGCTCGCTGCGGTGTTCTTGTTGTCGCCCGTCAGCAGGACCACATCGATGCCCATTCGCTTGAGCGTGTACACGGCTAAGTGTGCCTCCGGCTTGACCATATCCGAGACGGCAAACATGCACACCAGCTGTCCGTTCAACGCACACAGCACTGCCGTGTGTCCTTTGCGCTCCTCGTGCGTCATACAATCGCCAATTTCCAGCGGCACCTCAATGGCATTGCGCTGCATCCACTCGCGATTGCCAATCAGCACTTGTATCTCCGGGCCATCGATAAGCTTCTGTTCCACTCCGACAACGCCCTCGAGGGCCAGCAGCTGCTGCTGAGCCACTTCCATGGACTTGCGCACATCCCGCTGTAGCATTAAATGCTCCACACTGGCCCCATTCTCCACATTGATGGAGCTCTGTGGATGCTGGCGGTACAGATTCTCATAGTTGATGATCCGCTCCGCATTGCAGGCCTGTCGCAGCGTATGTTCATAGTTGGACACGCTCACACGAATGCCACAGCCAGGCACTGCCTGAAAGTGGGAACTCTTGCCGAAATTGCCGCCCTGCTGTGCAGTGCCAACTGGTCCCACGCTCAGCATATCCTTGGCAAAGAGCACAATGGCCGAGGCAATGGGATGTTCGCTATTCTGTTCGGCAGCACCCACAATGGTCAAAGCACGAGCCAGGCTGCACACCTGTGGTGGCACGAACAGGGTGACCTTGCTGGTCATCGGCGTGCCGTGCGTGATGGTTCCCGTTTTGTCAAACACCACAGTTTTCACCTGTAAGAAAAGGGACAGCTAATTGCTTAGCAGCAACTCTAGAGAAATTATTCGAAATAAAACCTACCTTGTGCGCATTCTCCAATGCAGTGGCACCCTTGACCAGCACACCATTGATGGCTCCGGTGCCCGTGGCCACCATTACGGCTGTGGGCGTGGCCAGGCCCAGGGCACAGGGACAGGCAATGGCCAGGACACTCAGCGCACACTTGAAGGCATAGCTAACGATTATCGTATTCCGATCCATGTGCATCTTGTGCTCCATGGCCACGGGCACCAGATCAGGATTCGCGAAACCAATGATTATCCATGTGATTAGCGTTATGCTGGACACAACCACCACAAAGGGCACAAAGTAGCCGGCAATGCGATCCGCCAGCTGCTGAATGGGCGCCTTGCTCGTTTGCGCCTCCTCTACGAGACGCACGATCTGCGCGAGCGTCGTATTCTCTCCCGTGTGCGTACCCTCGACCAATAGTACACCGTTCTGATTGATGGAGCCACCGATGACAACGGCCCCCTTGCGCTTGGCCACCGGCATGGATTCGCCCGTGATGAGGGACTCGTCGCACGTCGAATGGCCATAGAGGACCTTGCCATCGACTGGCACCTTGGCGCCAGGAATCACCTTGAGTATGTCCCCACGCTGCACATAGTCCACGGAGATGACCTTCTCGCTGACAATGTCAAAGCCCGGAGAGATCTCCACCAGCAGGGCATCGGCGGCTTTCAGGGAGAGCAGCTTGGACAGCGCCTCTGATGTTTTGCCCTTGGCAATGTGCTCCAGCCATCGTCCCAGCGAGATGAAGATTAGCAGCATGGGCGGCGTGTCAAAGAACGTCAGCGGTGAGCTGTTCTGCTCCAGGAGGACGGCGACAATGACCACCGCCACCGAATACACATAGGAGATGGTGGTGACCATCGAGATGAGGACATCCATGTTGGTGGTGCCGTGCTTGATGGCCCTGTACGACTGCACATAGAAGTGAAAGCCGCCAAAGAACTGCACCGGCGTCGAGAGCAAAAACATAACCAGATTCTCCATCGAGAGACCCGGCACCAGGCAGCACATGTTCGCGTGCCCCTTGTCGTTCATCTCCAGCATGAAGTAGACCATCGCCACCATGCAGGGACCACCAAAGACCAGAGAGACGAGGAATGCGTTCCGCCACTTTCGTATCTCCTCCTTGTGCTCCAGATAATTGTGGGCCATCTTGTCGCGGCCCGTCATCAGCTTGGCCTCGAATCCAAGACCCTCGATCGCCTCGCAGATGCTCCGCGGACCCGTGTCCTCGGTGTTGTAGCGGAATTTTCCTTCAAACGGAAGAAAGAGAGAGTGAGTGAGTACAGAAGCGGTCATCAGATGCATGTGTGGTTACAATAGTGGACGAAAATAGTGTGGCAGGCTCTGCATGCACAGCTGAGTGCAGTAGGCCCAGCATCTACCGCTGACAGTAGCGGGCATTAAAAGTGCAACAGGTTCTGCATGTACAGCTGACAGTAGAGGGCATAAAAAGTAAATATTCCTCTTACATTATTACAGTGGTGGTCATTAAGATGATGAAGCTTGCAGTTCTAAGAGACAAAGGGAGCAATTTGTTGGTGGGAAGAGTTGGAAATGTAACTACAGTAGCGGTTATCATGTGACTATGTTTTTTCGGAGTTCAGCTACAGTGCCACAGCTACAGCCACATAAATATGATGACAAATAATGGAAAACTTGAACTTTGGCTAGCTACATCTTCAGGTATATAAATTGAAAGAATGAATCACTGTCACTGTTAAGGGAATTGTTTGGATTAAAACATTAAACATTGCACTCTTACGTACAATCCCCTATGTCTTTAAGAGGTTTATTTCTACCATTTACATAGTTTTCGCTAGTTATTGTTCCTTATCTCAAGCACACATACATATGTACTTTCAACGATCATTTCCAGCACGATTATTTGTATGTACAAGCTAAATTTCATCATAGAATCACAGACTGCCATTTCTGGCTGCTGTTATCCATTTTATGCCCGACATGTACATACTTTAATTTTAGAAATGGACAAATGCCGGCTCTCCAATTGGAAACTGGAAAGTGGAAACTGGAGCATGCTGCGAGCCCCCCAACCGGTTCCAACTGAGATCGGGATCGGAGGCAGGCAGATTATTTTCTGGCTGGGATTTGCATTGGCATGTGGCTGCTGGCATCGAAGCGAAAGCCACTCCAAAGCCAGAGCCCAGAAGCACCTTCCATGGCCCGCTTTCCATTCGTGGAATATCGTTAGCCGTTTGCTTTGCAATTGTAGCCACCCAACATCGATAAGATAATGTTTCAACCTTGCCATCATCCCCCACTGCACTGGGAGCAGCAGCAGCGACAGTACTCTGCTTGTGTTCTGCTGCTGTCGATAATTAAAATGTTGCCAGTGCCGCAAAAAAATTGAAACTGCGAATCTCTTTGGACATCTGCTCTGTAGTTCCGTAATGAATACGAGTAGTTCCCCGTTCGAAGGGAACACCCAATCTTCACAGAAAATGTGTCATTGTAATGATTTTGTTTCGTTTTCTGAGTAAATCGAAATTCAAGAAATGCTGAAATGTGGATGGGTCTTCCACCTCATCAGAGAGAAAATGTGGCCATATATTAGAACGTATTAATATTGGAAATATTCGAAGACATTAAAAAGAATGAATGCAAACTGATTGTTTGTAGGAGAGTGTTGATAAATCTGTAATCGTAGCAGTTAGACTTACAAGTCAGTTGCAAAACATTACAAAAACTCACAAAATCTTCTTATTTCGTGTCAGTAGTACGTACAAATATTACTTAAATTCTCAGTAAACAAATTCCAACATTCGGCAACCGAATTCTGCGCAACAACTTTTGAAGATATTTGAGAACTATAGAACCTACAGCAACCATCATGGAGGATTTGGCATTGTTTCGTATTAAGCGAGAATTCCAGGAGGTCATGAGCAGCGAGGTGATCACGCAGTGTTCCATAAAGATCGAACTCGTCAATGACAATTGGACAGAGCTGCGCGGCGAGATAGCTGGGCCCCCAGACACACCATACGGAGGTGGGAAGTTTGTGCTGGATATTAAGATG